TGTTTTAAGTCTATTATTATTATTATTATTATTATTATTATTATTATTATTAATAATAATAATAATAATAATAATAATAATAATAATAATAGTTAATCTTTAGTGAGATTCACAGCCTTCAAGGCTGGTTAATAGCTCAGCAGCTCGAGTCCCAACCAAGGACTTAGGAACTGTTAAGGTATCGTCGGAGGATGTAAGCTGTTCCGAGTAAGGTGGTTTTTTGTAGAGTTAAAATGTTCAAGTCTGGCAAATTTAAAATTTCTAAATAATGGGGTAGCCCTTTGGGTATTGCTCCAAGGGCTCCAATTACAATTGGGACAACACATGATTTCTTTTTCCACAGTCGCTCAACTTCAATTTGCAAATCCCGGTACTTTGTGATTTTTTCTTGCTGCTTATCTACAATCCATGCATCACCAGGTATTGCAATGTCAATGAACCATACTTTTTTCTTTTCAACTATTGTTATGTCAGGTGTGTTGTGGACCAAGTGCCTGTCAGTATGAATTCTAAAGTCCCACAAGATCTTGAGTTTCTCATTCTCTAAAACTTTCTCAACCTGATGTTCCCAGTGGTTTTTGCTGTACTCAAATCCAAACTTTTTTATTTATTATTATTATTATTATTATTATTATTATTATTATTATTATTATTATTTCTATGGTGCCCACTCTCCGAGGACTCTGGGCTGATGCCATCTATAAAACATCTTGTACAGATTTTCTTTATATGCAGTTGACATTGTTAGTTGTCCCACAACTTCTGCCATTTATCTAATTCTATTGTGTAACCAAAGTTTTTTGCCCATGCTATCATTGTCTCCTTCACTTGTTCATCTTCCAGTATAATGACCTTAATTTCTTAATTCTTTATAGAAACCATATTTAGCATCTTTCTCATATCTAGAATGTATCTGCACTTGTGAATCCCATGCCATGTCGACGCCTTAATCACTCAGCTCTTGTTTAGTTTTAAATTTCCCCTTTTCATTCAAAATATCTTTATATCTGAAGCTATCTATCTGGATCCGCTCCAGTCCAGCTTCAGGCTGGATGGAAACGGCATTGGTCATGTTGGTGGATGATTTCTGGAGGGCTCGGGATAGGGGTTGTTCCTCTGTCCTGGTCCTGTTAGATCTCTCAGCGGCTTTTGATACCATCGACCATGGTATCCTGCTGCACCGGTTGGAGGGGTTGGGAGTGGGGGGCACCTTTCTGCAGTGGTTCTCCTCCTATCTCTCCAACCGGTCACAGTCGGTGTTGGCAGGGGGGCAGAGGTCAACCGCGAGGCACCTTGTTTGTGGGGTGCCTCAGGGGTCAGTCCTCTCACCCCTTCTGTTCAACATTTATGTGAAGCCGCTGGGTGAGATCATCCGTGGCTTTGGGGTGGAGTTCCATCAGTACGCTGATGATACGCAGCTGTACATCTCCACCCCAGGCCATCCCAATGATGCCCTTGAAGTGCTGTCCGGGTGCCTGGAGGCCGTGCGGATCTGGATGGGGAGTAACAGGCTTCGACTCAACCCTTCCAAGACTGAGTGGCTGTGGCTTCCGGCGTCCCGATATAGCCAGTTGGTGCCATCGCTGGCTATTGGGGGCGAGTTATTGGCCCACACAAATGGGGCTCGCAACTTGGGCATCCTCCTGGATGCACGGCTGTCTTTAGAAGAGCATATTACGCACAGTCACTCAGGCACTCATCACTTCCCACCTGGACTACTGCAATGGTCTCTACATGGGGCTCCCCTTGAGGAGTACCCGGAGGCTCCAACTGGTGCAGAATGCGGCCGCACGGGGGATTATGGGAGCGAGGGGTCGCTCCCATGTGACACCTCTCCTGCGTGAGCTGCATTGGCTTCCAGTGGTCTTCCGGGTGCGCTTCAAGGTGTTGGTTACCACCTTTAAAGTGCTCCATGGCATAGGACCTGGGTATTTGCGGGACCGCCTTCTGCCGCTGATAGCCTCCCACCGACCAGTACGCTCCCACAGAGAGGGATTCTTCAGGGTGCCGTCAGCCAGGCAATGTCGGCTGGTGACCCCTAGGGGGAGGGCCTTCTCTGTGGCAGCTCCTGCCCTCTGGAAAGATTTGCCCCCGGAGATAAGAAGGATATCGGATCTCCGGGTCTTTCGCCGTGCCCTGAAAACTTTTCTTTTCCATGAAGCAGGGCTGGCATGAACCCCCCCCTTCTTTTTTTAGTTTTTTAGCTTTTTAGCTTTTAATCTGTCAATGGGTTTTAATTCAAATTGTTTTAAATTTGGGCCAAAGTATGTAATTCTTTTAACAATTTTAAATTTTGTATTGGTATGTGTTTTAGTTCTGGCTGTGCACCGCCCTGAGTCCACTAGGAGAAGGGTGGTATACAAATTGAATAAATGAAATGAAATAAATGAAATATCTAACAATATTTCCACTGTTAATGACGTTTGGGTGGATCAGTGCTTCCACTGTTGAAAGCCAAACTGGTATCCTCAAATAATGTTCTCTAATTTTCTCCCATATTAACAATAGTGCATTCCTTTTGTAATGTCTTTGAAAGTAACCATGAGTCTTGATTTTCTCATGCCACAAGAAGGCTTGCCAACCCAGTTGTAAATCATGGCCCTCCAGAGTCAATAGTCTGAGAACAAAACTTTTTACATTTCTCATTTAGTTCTTTCGTCCTCTGTCACTATCATTTTGTCCTTAATTCCAGGTTACAATACCCTGTAACCCTTGTGATACCCTGTGATACCCTGTGTATCCTGTTGGTTTGAGCATGTCTAAAAAAGATGTAACTCGTAGAAATTATGGTAAATCTGTTGGCAGTAGGTAAACCTCTAAAACAGAATTGAGAAAATAAAAAAAAAGATATATGTGTAAGTATTTCTAGGATTAGGGATTGAAATCTTTCAGCAGTTTTGACAATTCCCTAATATTATCTACTTGTCAATGTAAATTTCATAAAACAAATAACTAACACAACATACAATTATTTACAAGAGTAAATAATATACAGCAAAGGGCAAACCAGGTGGCTTTCCTGTATCTCTCATAAATCAATTAAAGCCCCCCAAAGCATCAAAAGTAAATCAAAAGACCCAGCAGTCCCAGAGTAGAAATACAACATATAGTGTAAGGACTGTAACAGGCCCTTGGTAGGACAAAAGTCAGAAGACTACTTGAGTGCATCCATGAACACCAACAACCAATCATCATCAGAAGACATGATGGAAGTGCCTTAATCTCCATGCTAATTTCTATGTCAGAACACATGGAATGTCTTAACCATAGTTTCAGCTGGGGAACCATACTTTCAACTGAGAATCAGAGACCAAACAAGTCCAAAAATGCATATAGAGATAACAACACCTATATATCATTCAAAAGAGATAATCAAAAAGCCAAAAAGAAAACAAAATTTTTTAAATACCTCATCACTGGCAATCAACAGAAAGATTAATGCTAGACCAACAATCAGGTAAACAAGTCCAATCAAGAAACTAGTAATGCTGTCAAACAAGCTAACAGTGAACAACAGCCTAATTAAGGAACCATGAAGACCTCACTGACAAGGCAAGCCACCATATACAATGAGAGCAAACCCCACTCCTTTGTAGTACAGATTGTATTACCTACTAATCCAATGAAAAATCTGCAAGAAAGCAACCAAGCTCAGAGAGCACTAAGGACCAGACAGTTCAACTCTTAGCTACAAATATTCTCTTTTACTGAAATAGCAAAGTTTGGAAAAAATCTATGTTCAGTATGTATAGTCCATTTATATTTATGTGTATGTATATAAACATAGGTGGGGACATGGTGGCTCGGTGGCTAAGACACTGAGCTTGTCGACTGAATCCCTAGTGCCATATAACGGTTTGAGCTCCTATTACTTGTTCCAACTTCTGCCAACCTAAAAAGCCCATAGAAAATGCAAGCAAAAAAATAGGGACCACTTTGGTGGGAAGGTAACAGCATTCTGGGTGCCTTTGGTGTTTAGTCATGTGAGCCACATGACCACAGAGACATCTTTGGACATAGCTGGCTCTTTGGCTTGGAAACGGAGATGAGCACCATCACCTAGAGTCGGGAACGACTAGCACATATGTGCAAGGGGAACCTTTACTTTTTATATACACATAAAGTGTATGGGCCTCTCTCTCCTCACCCCTCTCTCTCCTCTCTCCCTCTCCCTCCTTCCCTCTCCCTCTCTCCCTCCCTCTATCTCAAGTTGGGCTTCACTCAAGGACCCATATAGAAGAGGAGGAAACGCCACAAATGTGCCAAGCAGTAATAGTTATTCTACTTCTTTTACTGATTTCCCCAAGGGGGAAAACCTCCATTGAAGAATTATGTATGCAGTGCTAATGCTAATATTATAAGTGTGACACAAATAAGCACATTGGTGACCAACTGGCATATCAAACAAAATTCAGACAGTACCAGTATTTTGATTAATTGTATTATTTTTAAAATATCTGAAGAGAACGATGCTTCTTAACAGTGAGATCCAAATTTCATTTAATGCAATTTGATTTACTTTGTTGTTTAATTAATCATGACTGAAATTTCCATTTGAATTCAGCTGTAAATTTCCATTTGAAGCCAACTGCAGATCCAGGAGAACAAAACTTTTTACATTTCTCATTGAGTTTTTTCTGTCCCCGTCACTATAATTTTTTCCTTAATTGCAGGTTACAATACCCTTTGAATCACAAGTTGGTTTGTTCATCTGAGCATGTCTAGACCTGTACAATCATTATCAATTATGCATTCTTATTTTCAATCTCTAAGGAGTTACAGAAAATATTAAAAGTAATATATTTCCCCTGCAATAAAGATGCAATATTCTTTTTTCCAAGGGTACAGCTAGAGGACCAAGTCCTGTCATTCTGATTTTTTAAAAAGTAAATCTCTACTTTAAAGCAGCCTCATGGAACACTGTATCTCAGGCTGTCCTATTTCAAATGCCTAATTCTCAGGAAGTGAACAGATGGATGAGAGATAAATCGTTGTACAAAATGATATTATTCTTTGCAATAGCAATATTGTCCTTGTATGTAGATGCTGATACAACCTTTGCTAAATGTTCTGTAGGAAATCAGCCTTTCATTAAGCACAAGCGATATCATTCAGAAGATTTGGTCATTGCGGGCATTTCTTATCAAATTTACATGGTATCTGATGAAATAACATTCAGAAGAAATACATCAGATGAACTGTTTGGTGATTTAATGTATGGAATTCCTGTTTTTCAGTAATGCAAATACAGAAAATAGTTAAAGCCTGTGACATGATAGAATTAGGATGGAGGATGAAAGTTAAATTGCCTATCCTGCACTATTATTTCTCAATAATATTGCTTCAATTTCCATCTGTTACACAAGTTATTTTCCAATGTGTTTTCATTTCTATGGATTTGGTACCATTCTAGCAGGTATCAGTTTAATTTTAATAAAACAGATTGCAGTTAGTCCTACATGCAGATATTATATCAAATATTCCTCAGAAATTTCCAGTGTATTGAATAAGTAAATTAGAAAATTAGGGTAGGAAATAAAATTAAATATAGACCTCCATATTAAGGGGTAAAAACCCACTAATTATTGATGTTTATTACATTTTGCAATTGGGCTGCCTGAATGCCTATGGATTGATATATTGCTTAGACCTCTTTCTTGAAATATTAAACAAATGGTTTCTTCGATGCTAGTGCTTCCACCTGCATCAGTCCTTGTGCCTGCACAGTCTAAACTTGTGTGATACAATTAGAATGCAGTCAATTCCAGATCTGGCTACAGATGTTATAAAACTCATTTCAGATATTATATGCAAAACTACCAGCATATCTTGGCTTTGGAATTTGCAATCAAAGAAATCAATGAGAATTCCAGGATCTTGCCAAACATCACCCTTGGTATCCATATCTCCAATAGCTATTACCTGCCAAAATGGATTTATCTGGCTTCCATGGAGCTTATCTCTACAAAGGGAAAATTCATCCCCAACTACAAATGTGACCTCAAGGACAATGTAATATCTGTGATTGCAGGACATAATGCTTTCATTGCTCAGTTCATGTCAAACATTCTGAGCAAATATAAGATCCCACAGGTAAGAGCCATCCCATAAAGAAAGGAGTCAAATCTAAATACAGTATTTCTTGCTTGATTTAGTTTAATTTCTATTCCAAATTTTTATCTTTTTGAATCTATTAGTGTCAGAAACATTCAAAACAAAGGGATAACCAACATCGCCTCATATAGTGTTTTGGGAAAAATCACAATCAAGCTAAACATCCAAATATATTTCATCCAGGGTGGGACAGAGAGGAATGATTCAAAATGGTAGAAAGTTGCATATACCTAATCTATGGGGTAAATCATGTCATGGAAACATGTGTAAACATAGCATAATCCAGAGGTTCATATTCATTCTTGCAGTTCTTACATTTCTGGAGCTTTGTTTATTAAAACAAAAAGAAACAACTATCATAGAAATTGTATTGGAATATGCAAATAGTAATCAATTCTGCCCTTGCCTGGAGAACATTCATATTTAAATAAGATCCTTAAAATAGACATAAGTGATTTGGAAGTATATACTCTAATTTCTTCTTTTTTCTTAGCTCATATATGGTTCAACTGCAGAGATAGATGACAACATAGAAGCTGCTTTCTTCCGTCAATTATTTCCAAATGAAGACCTTCAAATTATGGGGCTGGTCCAATTGTTGCTTCACTTCCAGTGGAAATGGATTGGGCTCATTGTCCCAAACCCTGAACATGGGAAGAGGTTCATACAGAATAGGCTTGATATATTTTCTAAGAATGGCATTTGTTTTGATTTCATAGTAGAATTGTCAAAGGACTCTGTTACCAATGATATTGACATTCAACTGAATGGTTATGTTTTGCTGTATAAGGCTATTATGAGAAGTACTACCAACGTTGTAATCACATATGGTGAAAATCAGAACATGGCTATTCTTAGAATGTTGCCATTTATTTCAGAATATGAAGACATGCAAATGAAGAGAAAAGATAAAGTTTGGGTCATGCCAGCACAGATGGAATTCACATCAGTCCGCTTTCTAAGATATAGGGCCATGGATTTCATCCATGGTGCACTATCGTTGGCAGTTTCCTCAAAGGAAATATTAGGGTTTAAGAAATTTATTCAGACGAGAAAGCCTTCTTCTTCAGAAGAGGACACTTTGACAAGAGTGTTTTGGGAAAATGCATTTGAATGTTCTTTCCCAAATGCTGGGTTAGATGAGGACAGTGACAATCAGTGCACTGGTGCGGAGTCACTGGAGACCCTTCCTAAATCTGTGATTGAATGTAGTATTACTGGGCATAGTTATAGCATTTACAATGCTGTCTATGCAGTGGCCCATGCTTTGCAAGCCATGCTTTCATCTAAGAGCAGAAAAAGGAGAAATGCTTGGGAACTCAGTCAACAGTCGTGGCAGGTAAAAACGACATGAATGAAAATATATTATATATTTATATAAGGGCCAGTCATATAAATGTTCAGCTATTACTGTATTTTGGAGTTGTATAACTAATAAAAGTATTCTGAAGCTGAACTAACTCATAAGTGATATGTGAGAACTTAAGTAATAATTCCAGAGAACAATAAACACGGGGTGCAACAATGGACAATGAGAAGGAGGCAATGTCAAATATTAATTCAAGAGGAGTTTTAGCAGGAGTGATGGGTAAATCAGTTTCCAAATGAATGGGACTGTTTAATAGGATATAAGGAATGTGTCCTTGGATCACACAGTGGTTTCTGATAGTTCTATCAAAACATTCCACTAGGAACCTCTTAATCTTATGATGCAAATGCTTCTTCTAAGACCATTGTTTTCTTTAAATAACAGGAGAGCTTGAAGTAACTTAAGATCTGTTATGTAATTACTTATGAATCATTTTTGCCCTCCTTTTTGAAATATAAGCTCTCTCATTAGTTCCCTCCACTAGTTTCTGGATGGAATTTTTTTCAGTGTCCTAAATTAACAATGAATACTGCAATTATCTTTCATTATTTGCTTGGGTTCTGAGTTTTGATTCCACAGTGAGGAGAAGATTATGACAGGAAGGAAGGAAGGAAGGAGGAAGGAAGGAAGGAAGGAAGGAAGGAAGGAAGGAAGGAAGGAAGGAAGGTAGGAAGGAAGAGTGTTGAGCTGCAGTGAGTCTAGATTATTTGTTTGGGGTACTGCATTTTGATTCCATGGTGAAGAGAAGAGTATGAGATAAATAAGAAAAAAAGAAAGGATGGCATTGAAGAGTGATCAATAGACAGACCACAACAATTTTTTGTTGGCTCTTCATAGATCAAATGCTCACAATATTTTAGTACACCAGAGCGTGTGAGAAACAGCAAGTAACTAGGGTGCCATTAAGAATCAACATTATTAGTCCAACTGACATAGATTATAATATTGCTTCCAACATGCATGGGAATAGTAAAGGAATTCTAAATACCTAAATGCTTTTTTAGAAAGGATGCAAAAGTCGTTAGAAGGACTGTTAAGAGAAAGTAAATGCCAATTTAGTCCCGGGAAAGAAGAGAGATTGTGAGAGAGAAGCAAATTCCTGCAGGTATTCAAGTTTCTGTTATCATACCCCATAACAATAAATATTTCTCATGTTATATCTGCTGATTGGTCTTTCTTAAAAGATTAACACCTAATTTATGAAAGAGCCTTCATTCATACTTGCTCATTGCTTCCAATTGTTATAAATTTCTTTTAATGGTTTACATTTAGTTTCATTGGTATCTGAAAGCTGTTTCATTTAACAACAGTGCTGGAGAAATGGTTTCCTTTGACGAAAGAGGAGAGCTACCAACTGGATTTGATGTTATCAACTGGGTCACCTTCCCCAACCAATCATTTCATCGAATCAAAATTGGAAACATAGCTCCAGTGACTGCCCCTGAAAATCTTCTTACTATTTTTGCAGAGGAGATTGTCTGGCCCACCATGTTTAATCAGGTAGTTTTGGCACCAATATCAAACCATGGTGAATAATTTATTTTATTTTTACTTACTGCTTCAATGCTCAGAAAGTACTTTCAGGAATTACAGGCATAAAATGACTCTTTTCTCAAAGTGACTCGTGAACTTGATTACCCTAAAAAAAAAAACAAGGTTTAATAAGTTCTGAGAGGCACAATGAGTATCAAAAATGATGAGTTTTAAACAAATAGTTCTCATAAGGAATAATGTTGTGAATCACAAGGTAGCTGATATCAACAAGTTCTAGCTTCTTCATTGAGTATCAACCAAAGGATGAATTCAAAGCAGTTGAGTTCCAAGGTACCACTGTATATGCCTTAAATTGGCTTGTTGATCATGTACCTGGCTCCCTGCCACGTGGCAACGGCCCTGCCTGAGCTGCTCAACGTCATAGCCGGGGTGGCGGTTGATACCCCCAGTCTTTTGGTCATGGGGGATTTTAACCTGCCATCCATCGACGAAATGTCTGAGGTGGCCCGGGAGTTCATGGCTTCCATGACGGCCATGGACCTGACTCAGTTAATTCATGGTCCCACTCATATAGGCGGACTTAATTTTTATCTCTGGTCTTGAGTGGCCTTGATATAGGGGATATAGTCATCGAACCCTTGTCATGGTCTGACCACTCATTCCTTCAACTAGACTTTCTAACCGCTACACCCCGCCACAGGGAGGCGGAACCGACTAGGTGGTTCCCCAGGCACCTGATGGATCCTGATAGGTTCCAGATGGAGCTTGGGCCAATCCCTGAGACTCTGGCTCATGACTGGGCTGAGGACCTGGTGGCCGCCTGGGATAGTGCAGCCGCTGGGGCCTTGGACTGCATCGTGCCTTTGCGGCCTCTGACCCAGCACCAAACTCACCTAGCTCCTTGGTTCTCCGAGGAGCTGAGGGAGATGAAACACCGGAAAAGACAGTTGGAGGACCAGCCATTCCGAATCTGACCGAACACTGGTGAGGTCTCATATTAAGACCTACCTAGCGGCGAAAAATCTAGTTATTTTTCCGCTCTTATTGCATCATCAGATAATCGCCCAGCCACCCTGTTTAGGGTGACCCGCTCCCTCCTCCATCTGGGAGCACGGGATGATCCTTGCAGGGTCGAGCTGAAGATTTTGTGCAGTATCTGCATGATAAAATCGCTCAGATTCAGGAATGTCTGGCCACTGACTGGGTATGTCCGGATGGGATGACTGAGGCAGGTCTTGAGAGTGTTATCTCGGAGGAATTTGATCCTGTGGCTCCCAAGGACGTGGACAGGTTTCTGGGATGGCTGAACGTGACCACATGTTTATTGGACCCGTGTCCCTCCTGGTTGGTGCTGGCTTCCCGGGAGGTTACATGAGGCTGGCTCCAGAGGATTATTAACGCTTCTTTGAGGGAGGGTGTCCTGCCGGCCACCTTGAAAGAGGTGGTGGTGAGGCTCCTCCTCAAGAAGCCCTCTCTGGATCTGGCTATTCTGGCTAACTATCGTCCAGTCTCCAACCTTCGTTTTATTGCGAAGGTTGTTGAGAGTGTGGTGGTGCGGCAGCTGCCACTGTACCTGGATGAAGCTGTCTATCTCAGATCCGCTCCAGTCCGGCTTCAGGCCTGGGCACAGCATGGAAACGGCATTGGTCTCGTTGGTGGATGATATCTGGAGGGCTCGGGATAGGGGTTGCTCCCTGGTCCTATTAGATCTCTCAGCAGCTTTTGATACCATCGACCATGGTATCATGTTGCGCTGATTGGAGGGGTTGGGTTGGGTTGGGAGTGGGGAGCCCCGTTTTGCGGTGGTTCTCCTCCTATCTCTCTGACCGGTTGCAATCTGTGTTGACAGGGGGGCAGCGGTCGACCCAGAGGCACCTTGTTTGTGGGGTGCTGCAAGGGTCGGTCCTCTCGCCCCTTCTGTTCAACATTTATGTAAATCCGTTGGGTGAGATCATCCGTGGCTTTGGGGTGGAGTTCCATCAGTACGCTGATGACACCCAGCTGTACATCTCCACCACAGGCCACCCCAACGATGCCCTTCAAGTGATGTCCCAGTGCCTGGAGGCCGTGTGGACCTGGATGGGGAGAAACAGGTTCTGACTCAACCCTTCCAAGACCGAGTGCCTTTGGCTTCCGGCGTCCCGATATAGCCAGCTGGTGCCATCACTGGTTATTGGGGCAGAATCACTGGCCCCCACAGAGAGGGCTCGCAACTTGGGCATGCATGGCTGTCTTTAGAAGAGCATATGACAGCCGTGGCCAGGGGGACTTTTTATCAGGTTCGCCTGATACACCAGTTGCGTCCCTTTCTGGATTGGGACTCTACGCATGGTCATTCAGGCGCTCGTCACCTCCCGCCTGGACTTCTGCAATGCTCTCTACATGGGGCTCCTCCTGGGGTGCACCCGGAGGCTCCAGCTGGTCCAGAATGTGGCCATGCAGGGGATTATGGGAGCGATGGGGCGCTCACATGTGACACCTCTCCTGCGCGAGCTGCACTGGCTCCCAGTGGTCTTCCAGGTGCGCTTCAAGGTGTTGGTGACCACCTTTAAAGTGCTCCATGGCTTAGGGCCAGGATATCTACAAGACCACCTTCTGCCATAAATAGCCTCCCACCGGCCAGTACGCTCGCACAGAGAGGGCCTCCTCAGGGTGCCGTCTGCCAGACAATGTGGGCTGGTGACCCCCAGGGGGAGAGCCTTCTCTGTGGCACCACCCGCCCTCTGGAACAACCTCCCCCCAGAGATACGCACAATACCAGACCTCCGGACTTTTCGTCGGGCCCTGAAAACTTATTTATTTCACCTAGCGGGGCTGGCTTGATCCCACTGTTTTGGTTAATTGATTTTAATTGGGTTTGATTTGATTTTAATTGGGTTGTTTTAAATTGTGGCCAAAATATTTAATTATTTTTAAACTGTTTTTAAATTTTGTATGTTCTGTTTTATTCTGGCTGTTCACTGCCCTGAGTCCTGCTGGAGAAGGGCGGTATACAAATTAAAACAAACAAACAAACAAACAAACAAACAAACAAACAAACAAATAAATAAATAAATAAATAAATAAATAAATAAATAAATACTAGTCAAATCCAATTTTCAGATGCAAGAATTCCTGAAAGGTTAAGTAATAATTTCTCAATTTTCCTTCACAATGTCCAATAGGTACAACCCTTTTCTATGTGCAATCCTCCATGCTCATCAGGTTACAGCAAAATAAAAATAGAAGGAAAGCCCTTTTGCTGTTATGATTGCCTTAAATGTCCAGAAGGAAAAATTTCAAACAAAACAGGTAAGAGATCTAAAGCAGAGATTTCAATGCTATTTATTTTGTGTGATGCCTTATATTACTCTTTAATTGTAAACAATACTGTAGTTTACCATCTCTTTTCAAATGTGTCTATCATACAGGACAGATGTTGGTTACTTAGGAGTCTATTCAAATATTATGCCATCTTTTTTTACTCTTGGAAAGATAAACCAGACCATAAAAATAAATATGTTCACCTATGTTTTCTATGAAAGTAAAGGGATTTCAAGATTGCGTGGAATGAACCTATTATCATTTTGAGAATTGCAGTTCAGAAAGATTTAAAATAAGATTAAAAATAAATGGTAAAGGAGAAATGTCAGTTAGTTAAGCAAGCATAATTTCTTGATAGTGTATTTTGGGAAACAAACAATAATTTAGATTTATGTTATGTTTTTATGTATTCATCACATTTCTATACCATCATCTGAATTATGTGAATCTGGACAGTTTACAGGATTTTACATAATCTCTCTGTTCCTGTTCAACATTTGTGTGAAGCTACTGGGTGAGATTATCCATCACCATGGACTGAGGTATCATCAATATTTTGATGATACTCAGCTGTATGTCTCAACCCATGGTGAGTTAAGTGATGCTGTGTCCTCCCTCTGACAGTGCCTGGAGGTTGTTAGGGGCTGGATGGGGAGCAATGGGTTGAAACTAAACACTTGAAAGACTGAGTGGCTCTGGGTTGGGGTTCTTTGGTCCAAGAAGAATTGTCACCTTTGGTCTTGGATGGGGTGGCATTACCCCAAACAGACCCTGTGCTTAACCTGGGGGTTCTCTTGGACTTGCGACTCCTGGACGAAGAGCAGGTGGTGGTTGTGGCCAGGAGGGCCTTTGCGCAACTGCGGGTTGTGCACCAGTTATGCAATTTCCTGGACCAACAATCCCTACTCACTGTCACTCATGCCCTAGTCACTTCCTGTCTTGACTATTGCAACCTGCTCTAAATGGGGCTGCTCTTGAAGAACATCCACACCTTCCAGTTGGTGTAAAATACAGTGGCTACATGGTTTTGTGCAGACGTCAGTGTGCACATGTATCACATCTCCTGCCAATTTGCTTCTGGGTGAAATTCAAGGTGCTGGTTGTGACCTTTAAAGCCCTTGATGGCTTGGGACCAGGTTATTTTAGGGACCGGTCACATCTACCCAACCCATCAGAGTACGGAGGCAAGTAATGTTGTGGGTCCCATCCCCTAGGGAGATACACCTGGTGGAACCCAGAAGGGCCTTCTCCATGGTGGCTCCCTCTCTCTGGAACATCATTCCCCCAGAGATTAGAATGGCCCCCACTCTAACACTCTTCCGGAAGACCTGGTACAGCCAGAGGGTCTGGGGAACCCAGAGTGGGATCGAGCCCATTAAATGGTTTGTTTGATATATTGTCACTGGGGTGGGGGTGTGGGGGTTATTTTATTATATTATTTTTAATATATTATTTGATTGTCTCTTTTATTAGTTTTATTGTTTTCATATAAGGTTTTTATATTCTTGTAAGCTGCCTTGAGTCACCGTCTTCTAATAGGTGGTAATATAAATTTAATAAATAAATAGTTAAGTAAGTAATTAAATACAGAAATAAATATCTTAGTATAACAGAATAACAGAGATTGAAGGGACCTTGGAAGTCTTCTAGTCCAACTTCCTGCTCAAGCAGGAAACCATATACCTTTTCAGACAAGTGGTTATCTAATATCTTCTTAAAAACCTCCAATGTTGAAGCACCTACTGGATTAATTGTTATCCCTGTCAGAAAATTTCTCTTTAGTTCTAGGTTGCTTCTCTCCTGTGTTAGTTTCCATCCATTGCTTCTTGTCCTGCCTTCAGGTGCTTTGGAGAATAGATTGAGCACCTCTTCCTTGTAGCATACCCTCGAATATTGGAACACTCTTATCATGACACCCCTGGTTCTTCTTTTCACTAGACTATATGTATAAAAGCAAAATCTTAGTATAAAGAATAAGTTAAAAACAAAATTTAAAATTGGGTTGCAGCATTAAAAGTTAAAATCTTAAGGTGAAAAGAATGCCCTCATGACACCCAGGGTTGCATATCAGTCTTCAACTTCCATGATAATGAAGACCAAGGACCAGCCTCACATCTGAGAGTAAAGTGTTCCCCAGAGTAGGAGAAGCAGCAGAAAAGGCTATCTTCCTGCAACCTGCCAGCCAAAACTCCTTAAATGACAGAATCTGCAATATTCCCTCCCTGCCTGATTAGGTGGGATAGGATCATATAGTGGGGATGACAGCTCTTCAAATAATCTGAGAAAGGGCTTTCAAGGTAATAGCAAGTGCCTTGAATTGAACTCCCAGAAGCAACTGAGAAAAAATGAAGTTTGTATAGCAGAGGTGTTATATGTGGAACCCTAAGGGTGCCCAATATTGTTTGTGATGCTGCATTCTACATCAGCTACAGCCTCTTCAAGAGTAGTTCCATATAGATTGCATTGCAATAATCCATATGGGAGATGACCAAGATATGAGTGATAGAGAATAGACCTGAAAAGGCTACAACTAGTACATAAGAGCCATGATGGTGCAGTGGTTAGAATGCAGTATTGCAGGCTATTCTGCTGACTACCAACTGCCAGCAATTTGGCAGTTCAACTCTCACTGGCTCAAGGTTGACTCAGCCTTCCATCCTTCTGAGATCGGTAAAATGAGGACCCAGATTGTTGGGGGCAATATGCTGACTCTTAAAACTGCTTTTGTAGATAATAAAAAGATACAGAGAAAGCAATGAGTCATATAGCACCCCATAGTTGGTGTTTCAGGCTGAACCTCTTTCTCCCTTTGGAACTGATCAAAGAAGAAGGAGGTGAACCAGACCAGAACTGTTCTTTCCTCTCACAGTTCCCAAAACCATCTCAAAAGGATACCATGGTCAAGAAGAACCAGGATGGATGTACTATCCCTATCCCATTCTCTCCAGGTATCATCCAAAAGAATGACCAATACCATTTCCAGATAGTCCAGATAATTAATTTAATCAAGGATCTTCTGGGGTTGCAGCACAACCATCTTCTCAACCACCTTCCCTAAAAAGGGCAGGTGGGAGACCGAACAAAGGTTATGAACTGTTTGTGTCCAGTAATAACTTATTGAAAAATGACACACACTTAATAGTGACTCTAGCTTGTCATTGTTCAGATTCATCCCTTGTCTTTCTCCTGCAATGCTCTATCTGTCTCTTGACTCTTTTCAACTCTCTCAAATCTTCCAGGGCCTCATGTATCAGGGAGGGACGGAGGGAAGAAGGAAAGGAGGAAGGGAGGAAGGGAAGAAAGGAGGAAGGAAAGAAGGAAGTTTTCAAATGCTCACTGTCAGGAAAGGAAATATCTCTGAAGTGATGACCAATTCGGTAATGGGTTGTTGTCTATAACATTAAACACTTGACTGCAATAATTTCTTTTCCAGATGCAGATGACTGTTTCCCATGTTCAGAAGATCAGTACCCAAACAAAGCTCACAACCTTTGCATTCCAAAACACATCACATTTTTGTCTCATGAAGAGCCTCTGGGAATTAGCCTGACAGCTATTGCTTCCATCTTTTCTTTCATCTCAGTTATGGTCCTGGGAATCTTCATTAAGCATCAGGACACCCCCATTGTCAAAGCCAACAACCGGAACCTCACCTACATTCTTCTCATTGCTCTCCTCCTCTCCTTCCTCTGCACTTTGCTCTTCATTGGGCAACCAGATCAAGTAAAATGTCTCATGCGACAAACTTCTTTTGGCATCATCTTCTCTGTAGCTCTTTCTTGTATATTGGGGAAAACAATCATAGTGGTCCTTGCTTTCATGGCCACCAAGCCCGGATCCAAAATGAGGAAATGGGTGGGGAAAAGGCTGGCCAACGCTATAGTTCTTTCATGCTCTTTGACACAATTCTCCATTTGTGCAGTGTGGTTGGCAATTTCCCCCCCATTCCCAGATTCTGACATGCACTCCATGGCTGAAGAAATTGTCCTAGAATGTAAAGAAGGTTCAACCACTATGTTTTATACTGTTCTTGGTTTTTTGGGATTCTTGACTGCTGTCAGCTTCTCAGTAGCCTTCCTTGCTAGGAAGTTACCTGACAGCTTTAATGAAGCCCAATTTATCACCTTCAGCATGTTGGTCTTTTGTAGTGTCTGGATATCCTTTGTTCCCACCTACCTGAGCACCAAGGGAAAATACATGGTAGCTGTGGAGATCTTTTCCATTTTGGCTTCTGCAGCTGGATTACTGGGTTGCATCTTTTCCCCCAAATGTTACATTATTATTCTGAGGCCTGATTTGAACAGAAAGGAACAGCTGACAAAAAAATGAAACCAATTTATTGGGTCCTATATAAGTTACCTCATTTGCCTTATTAAAGGCCTACTGACCATCTTGAAGAACTAATTGAAAACTAGTTCTTTGATATTTTTTTTGATTTTTTTGATTTTTACTTTTTTTAATTACTTTTTTTTATTTTATAAACACACATACATACAATATATAATCAATCAATCAGTGTATCATCTGAATACATCTTTTTTCCTGATATTATCATTTCATTTGTTGTAACATTTTCCCCACATTTATCAACAATTTTATCCCAACCCAACCCTCCCCCCCTTCCCACCCCCCACCCCGACTTCCAGAGCAAAACAGGGTATAACATTTAACAAGCAAAGGCTAAAATATACTAACCTACTATAAAGTTTAAAATTCCCTCACACTCTTTAACTCTTCTTTTGTAAATTCATCAACCTCCCTTTTGTAAATTCTCAAAATCAGTTAGATTAAATTCTTTCTTCCTGAATATAAGAGCCTTTTTCTTGGTATGTAATCCAACAACTTTAACAATATTACAAGCATTACAAGCATTAACAAACATTGATAAATCTCATTTTCATCCCTCAAACACCGTTCTTTTTCAACATTGCTCCCTAATAAGATTCTAAATTAGACATTTATCCTCTTTATTCCTTCATAAACCAATTATCAATTTCTAACTATTCAGCATTAAAAATTCTAAATTAAACATTTTAAAACTTTGAATATTTTATCACCTATACCTTTTAAAATAATATAATCTTATATTAAACATTTAAAAAAACCTCTTAATACATCAATAAGACCTTCTTAGTTCATTCCTCAAAATATAGATTTCAAAACCTTCAGGAAACTATCCCTTAAATTTTTAATTAACCATTTCTATATTTTTTTCAGTCCTTTTTCCTCAATCAACATTGCTCCCTAATAAAGTTCCAAATTAGAAATTTATCCTCTTTAATCCTTCATAAAATTAAACATTTTAAAACTTTAAACATTTTATCTCATATACCTTCTTAAAATACTATAATCTTATGTTAAATATTTTAGAATTCTCTTAATACATCAATAGGACATTAAGTCATTTCTCAAAATATAAATTTCAAACCCTTCAGAAAGGTGTCCCTTAAATTTTTAATTATCCATTTAAATACCTCAATAATTCTTAAAAAGCTATCATTTTTACCTCAATAACTCTTAAGAAGCTATCATTTTTATATCCAGAACCAATTGTAATAACATACTTCCTTTATATTATTATTTTAGAATAAACTTTAAAAATACAAATTTTTAGCACAAAATTTGAGAGAGAATTTTTATAAAATGTTTTATAGATGGCACTTAGATCCTAAAAAACTATCATGTATGTACTCGAATTTGCAAGCTAAATGTTGGAGATGTGAATGTGATGATGCAACCTATTATCATATATGGTGGACCTGTAATCCAGGCATTTTGGATAAAAATTTGGTGGGTGATGCAGAACATTTTGAAAAGAAGGTTGAAATTTACTCCTCAATTGTTTCTACTGGGTATAAAGACAAATTGTACAGTATTAGAGACTAAATTGATTTTGAACTTAATATCAGCAGCTAGGCTCTTGGTAGCGCAATACTGGAAGAAGGACTCTTTGCCTACTATTGAAGAATGGATACTGAAAGTAACGAATTTAGCAGAAATGGCGAAAATCTCAGCGTATTTGAAGGACTATACACAAGAAAGATACGTATCGGAATGGAGAAGATGGATTGATTATATTCAAAATAAGTATCAGACAAGAAAATATCAAATAGCTTATGAATGAACATTAAGTATTAGAAGTATTATGCTATCTATAGTGGAGTTAAGGTTTCGAGGGGGAGTTAGTAGTCTGAGGATAGATAGGTTAATTTAGCTTATGATTGTTAACTGAAATACCTTGTATTTTGCTCTGGGAAGTCTGGGGGGGAGGGTGGGATGAGGGGAGGGAAAAGGTGGGGGGAATATTGGGGGGGAATTTTTTTTTTCTGTAAAACTTTTCAATAAAAAAAAATACAAATTTAATTAAGCTTCTCAACCTATTGCCAAAATCCTCCCCAAAAAAGATTAATCTTCGGTTCTTCCCTTCTTTCTGTATTTTTTTCTAGTCCTTTTTCTTCAATAATTCTTTCTTCTTCAGCATTGCTCCTCCTGCTGCTTTTATTTTCGAGAATTTTAAAATTTGGATCTGAGGTTGATGTCTCTTTAAAAGTTTTGTCTTCTTAAAGTTATTTCATTTAATTTGAAACCCCCATAAATCTCTCTCAAGTCCTCCTGATTAAACTCTTCCAGATTCCTTTGCTTTCCCCTCTTGGTCTGGAAAGCATCCTTTTTGTCCAAAGTCACATTAAACTGAATTTCTGCCCCATCTTGTTCCAACAGCTCACTACTGTCTAACAAGCCTTGACGTGATACTATATTCTCCTTTGTCTCCATGTTTTGAGTCAAAACAGTTTCCTCTTCCTGAGACTTTTCATCAAAAAAACCGTTAAGACTTTCCAGTAAAGCGGTGGTTTATGACTCAAAAATTTCATGTATTATAGGTCTTATTTGTGTATTTGCTGGTGTGTGTAATAATAGTCCTTCAGCACTTTCAAAGGTGCCAGCCATTTTCTTTTTTCTTTTTCAAAGTCCAATTATTTTTAAATTTGTTCAGCTATCACGTCAATAAATCCAATAATTTTCCACACAATTTAGAAGTATAGAGTAGTTAAGATCAATACCATAGTCTTTTTCATTTCACTAGCACTTTAAATCTTTTTCTTGCCATGTTTACAATGTTGCAGCTTTAATGATCACTTTCACTTGTAACTTTTGTTTTAAACGCCCTTAAGCACCATCTTTTTCCCTTTTTCTTTTAAACAGAGTTAAAGTTTAATACTTGCATTTACTGTTCTCCTGATTTACTCTGCCAGCATCCAGATTCGCATTTTCTCATAATCCTTAAAATTGCGCTGCTGGTGTGGTCACGACCCCTTGTTCTGCTTAAAGCAGAATCGTCCCGGATCCGGAGCACTGAAGGGCTTTCAGGGAGTACTCACCCTGCAAACCCCAGGCTTAAAAAAAAAGCCTGGTGGTCTAGGGGAGCTCTACCGAGACCCTTCTGCTCTTCTCTCCCCCTTTTTCCCTGGGGAGAGTTTTGAGCCGCTAGAACAGCTGATTTTCGCTGTTCTAGTGGCAAACGGAATCATGGGGCTGGAGCTCCTGAAGGAGCGTCCATTCAGGGAACGCGGAGCCACCGGAACTCAGTTTTTTAAACCAAAAATATGCAGTTGTGAAATATAACATTTTGAATGCAATTCTTATAGCATGTTTTCTATATAACCCTGGCAAAACTGAGTGGCTTTCGGTACAGGGAGCTCCAGGATCTGAGAATTTTTCATCCTTAGGTCTGCATTATCTGTACCTGACACCCTGTGCTTTGTTACTCAAGCCCTGGTTATCTCTAGTCTGGACTACTGTATCTATATGAAGCTACCCTTGAGATCTGCTCAAAAGCTTTAGCTGGTGCATAGTGCAGAAGCAGCAGTGTAATCTCTGGGGCCTTTGGGTTGATCCATTTCTATTCCACAAACTTCACTGGCTCCCAATGTGCTTCTGACTGCAGTTCAATGTCTCGGTTATGACCATTAAAGTCCTGAATGGCATCGGTCCAGGCTATCTGATGAACTGCCTCATCCTGTTAGGACTAGCCTATCGTACTTGTGCCAGCAGAGAGGGCCTACTTTGGATCCCGTTGTTCAAAGAACTCTGATTATCAGGATCCAGAAGAAGAGCCTTCTCTGCTGCAGCACCTACCCTTTTAAACTTCTTACCATGTAAGGTAAGATCCACCCATACCCTCCTGTCCAGTGGTGGGTTTCACTTTTTTTTACTACTGGTTCTGTGGGTGTGGCTTGGAGGGCATGGCTTGGTGGGCAGGGCAGGGGAAGGATATTTTAAAATCTCCATTCCCACCCACTCCATGGGAAGGTTACTGCAAAATCCCGATTTCCTCCAGATCAGCTGGAACTTGAGAGGCAGAGACTAGATGGGGGTGGGGCCAGTCAGAATTTTTACTACCAGTTCTCCTAACTACTCAAAATTTCCATTACTGTTTCTTCAGAACTAGTCAGAACCTGCTGAAACCCATCTCTGCTCCTGTCCTTTCACAAACGTTTTAAGACATGACTCTGCCAATTGGCTTTGGGACCAAATGGGAGAGTTTCACACAGGAGGTAGATCGATGGCAGACTCCACCTTCCTACTGCTGGTCTCTGCTCTCCACCATCTATCCATCTTTTTGGTTTTCTTTTCTTTTTTTATTAAAATTTATAAGCTTTATTAAAACACATATAGTAAAACACATATAAAACACATATAAAAACATTTATACAACATATAACATAAAAAAGCTATTCTTTTTAAACATTGTTTCATAGTCGTTTTCCAAGTGATACTGTTGTATTTCTTCCCCTTTTTCTTAGTCTAGTGAATTTTTTTCCTTTTTCCCCTTTTCTATATTTTTTTCCCTCTCCTTTTTTTCCCTTGGGTTTCCCCCTTTGGGGAGCTATTTGTTTTAATTATACCATTAGTATTTGGATTTCCATTTTGATATTTCTATACCTATAGGGGATTATTTATATACAGTTATTATATACATTATTTATGTGCATATTTACATACATCTTTATTCTGTTCTTCTTACATTTATGTTTCTTTATTGGTGGTGTTAATCCATTGATACCATTTGTTCCATATTCTATAATAATCTGTCTCTTCTTTTTCCTTGATTTCTTTTGTTAATCTATCCATTTCAGCACATTGTACAATTTTGTCTATTAGTTCTTATTCCGTTGGGATTTTTTCCTGTTTCCAATTTTTCACGTATACTATTCGCGCTGCAGTTAGAATATGTATCATCAAGTATTTTATTTCTTTGGGATATGTTTTTGTGAAGATTCCTAGCAGGAAGGTTTCTGGTTTCTTGTCTATTTGTAGTTTTGCTATTTGTTCCAACCATTTCTTAATATTAGACCAAAATTTCTTTGCTGC